ATTTCTACCATTCTTCGAAGATAAAGTACGATGCAAAGAATTTTCACTCATGCTCTCATAAAGATGCCACACGTCATCCTCATGCCTATCAATGTAAGAGCCACCCATGGAAGCATCAACCATGCCCTAGTAATTATCCGATAAGCTTTCAAAGAAATATTGAACTAATTGCCATTTGGGCATGTCATGATGTGGACACTTCCTAAGCAATTCATTAAAGCGTTCCCATGCCTTATGAAATGTTTCCCCATCCCCATGTGAAAATTTCCTAATTGAAGTCCTCATGGCATTGGTCTTAGAAATCGGATAGTACTTCTTCAAGGACTCTTGTTGCACTTCTACCCAAGAAGTTATTGAAAAAGGCCTAAGATTATTAAACCAATATTTTTTCTTGTCTTTAAGGGTGAATGGAAAAAGTTTAAGCCTTAAGACCTCTTCCGGCATGTCCGTATATTTCACGATGGAACATACTTCATGAAACTCATCCAAATGCTTGTAAGGTTCTTCACTTGGAAGTCCATGATAGTTAGGAAGCATTTGAATGGTTTGTGGTTTGATCTCATAGTGGTGTGCTTTAAATGGTGGCAATTGAATGCATGTGGGTGCATTATATTCATTAGGCACATAGTGATCTCTTAAAGCAAGAGGTGGATTAGCAATTGGAGGTGCAACATGGGCACCTTGATTACCTTGAATGATGGGAGGTGGTGGAGCATAGATTGGCCTTGGCATTCCCAATAGGACTTGGCCTTGTTGTGGTGGTGGATGAACAAATAGCCTTTGCATGCCTAATGGTACTTGCATGTTATCATGATGCACATTGGGGTGGAGGATACCTTATTGGTCTATGTAACCAAGGTCCTCCATATAGTCCTCATTGTGTACTTCCATTGTAGAAATGGATTAACTAGAACTTCCTCTTCCTCTAGGGTTTCGAACAACGGATTCAATATGAAAATTTAAAGGGATAAGAATGGGTCTCAATGATCTACGACCATGCATGCACAATGCAACACAACAAGCAATAAGCAATGAACAAACACTTCACCTTCACAACAAATCGATTAACAAACTTCCTCCACAAATAATGTTCCTATACTTCCATGCTTTCAAAAATATGCAAAAAAAAAAAAGTAAAATGCCTCCACGCGGGCTCATGATTTATCTAAGAATTGAAATACAAGCCTCCACGTGGGCCGACGATTTAACTAAGGGTTGAGTAAGGAAAAGCTCACAAAGGTCCTTTAGCACTTCAACTCCAATTTTCAGCTTTTAGCTTAGCAATTTTTTTTATTTATGATTTTAGCCTTTTTCCTTGCTTGCTTAGCCCCTTTGCTTGAATGCTCCTTTGCTTGCTTCCTAGCTTAATACTCCTAGTCAAACAAGAGCAAACACAATGAGTAACAAAAAGAAAAATAAAAAACAAAATAGAGACACGATCAAAAGAGTACTATTTCCTAATTGATTCCACAAATACGACGTTGCCAACCAATCAATCCCCGGCAACGGTGCCAAAAACTTGGTGTAAATCCGGGTCGTCACTCCCGAATCCACACGGTTTGTGCACACCGCTAAAAGAGATAGCGGTGTAGAGCTATGAAGAATGTGGCCAATATTACATTTAGAAATTGCCACTACTACCTTTCACTAAAAATATAGCTAGGGCAAGTAGGGATCGTCCTAAGGGATTAAGGGTCGTACTAGGTTGAGGAATCAAGATTAGGGTTAGTAGGTCGAGTGATCAAAATAGTGGTTGGTGATTGAATTACACTAGATGCAAATTAAACTAAAGTAGGCAATTAAATATAGATGAGAGAAAATAAGAGAGAAATCTTAAGGTTTAGAGATCACCACTAAGTATAGCTTTTCTACACCCTTAATGAATAATTAATGAGGGGAAAAACATGTATTGCAACAAAGTGTGTGTGTGTGGTTGTTTCAATAAGCATGGATGACAAATTAAGCATATATTGTCTAAGCAACATGGTGGATAACACAACATATTAAATTAAGCCATTAATCCCTTCAAGCTCACAACCAAACACATCACAAGGTTAGAGATATATGTTACTTGCTTTCATAAGTATGGAACATCAACAACAAGTATGGATTGTCCTCCCATTTAACATCTAAACTACAACTACACTACAATTAAGCTAATGACATGAAATTAAACTAATTAAACTAAGGGAGAGATACAATCCATCAAGAAATGAGTATGAACCTTCAAATAAACCATAAGAACATTCCATTAAGCACTATGTCTTGACAATCTCTAGATTTATAGCATTAATACATATAGACATGGATCAACAACACAAGAAATAGAGACAAGCACATAAACATCTATTTTAGCATACATAAACATATGGATAGAATGAAATGATCAATTGGAAGCATTAAACCATAAAAATCATTGAATAAACAAGATCTATATATATAAAAGTGTCAAAGCATGTATCATAATACAAATCCCCTCAAAAATACATAAATCAAGAAGTAGAAAGCATGCTTCGGGCTAACTCTAGCCCCAATAGGATGTCTAGCCACTCATAGATGATGTCTTCCAACCCTTAAGGGCAAGCTCCATGGAAGAAATCTGCTCCTTGGTTGATGAAAAGCCTCCAATGGCGTCTCTAGCCTCCTCCTCTCCTTTGCTTCCTCTCTAAGTATAAAAGTATAAAGTCTCCAAAAATTCTCTCAAAAAGTGGCTCATATTCCTTATATAGGTAGGTCAAAAATCACCCCAAATGAGCTGGGCTCGTACACCAATAATCCTCTAATGATTGGATATGAGACAACTTTTAATGAGCTAGAATTTAGAATTTTCTTGGGATTTGGAAAGTTAGATCGATCGAACTTGTGGTGAGATCGATCGAGCATGGCTGAGATCTATCGAATTGAAGCTGGATCGATCTTCAATGGCAGCGCTTTTTTGGATAAAAACAAATCTGAGATATTTTGAAGATATTTTTGGGAAAAGGACAAAAGTGGTTGGTAGGGTGGTACAGCTGGATAAGATCTGGCATACGGATAAGGACAAGAAAGTTCAATCGATCAGAGAATGATGTTCGATCGATCGAACTTTTGGGATCTCTGAAAATGACATCATGTTCTAGATCTATCTTGAAGTGCTGAGATCGATGAAAGTTGGATCGATTGAACTTTTCTTGAGATCGATCGAAGTTGCTGAAATTCCACCTTTTGCTTCCTTTTACATTACTTTGCTCCTTTCTTTGATTCATCCCAGAATTGCTTCAATTATGCTCTTATTTGGCTGAGTTAGCTTATTTTGGGAATAAGTACCTGAAAATGGAAATAACACGAAATTAATACAAAACGGAAAAATAAGACAGATAAAGGTTCTAGAATACCTAAGCTTAAGGGGTTTAAATACGCACTTTTCAGGGCTCATCACTGTAATTGATTTCTCTTCATCAGTTTCTCTATCTAATTGTATACTATTGGTTTTTTTATAAAAAAAATAGAATTCTGAATTCTTTTTAGATAAAATAATTTCCATGACCTCAAATTAACCAGTTGATATAATTTATGGTTCACCATGTGGGGTGATTTTGAACTGCACTGCCTTTGTCACAGTTCAACTAACTTGAAATCAATATGGCTGAAGGTTCAACTACCCAACCTTAATTCTACCATAAGATAAAAAGGCTAGTCTAGGACACAACTGTATCTTGCCATTAATCATGGACTGCAAAGATCTCCTCTCATTGAAAGATTATTACAAAGTTAGAATTATAATTTGGTAGCCACTAATCATATTTGTGCCTCATAAAGATCCCACACGATCTTATTTATACATGTAAATTTATTATAAAAAAAAAAAATTCCCAACTCTTAGTGGAGAATTTTTTTTTTTTTGTTAATTTTAACAAATTATCTCAAATCATAAAAAAAATGGACTATTACATATAAACTTATAATTGTATTCATATATATTTAATTATTCAAAACAAAAACAAAACAGTCTTTACCAAATAGGTATCCTATTATTGATTCAGAATTTTTGATAACAAAATGTACTTCCCAAACATGTTTTGTTTTCGGATTCCTTAAAACGCATGACATTACCAAACGCGTTTTCATGTTTTTGATATCCAATTATCAAAAACAAAACAGTCATTACCAAACATGGTTCCAATTTCTACTAAAAACACACCAATACCAAAACGGTTGCTTTCACATCATACCAAACCATAACGCCTATTTGATATCGTGATGCAAACGGGCCCTTAACATATCAGAATCCCACAAACTCTGCAATACTTATCTATTCTGTTACAGTACTTCTCTACCACTCCAAGGTTTCCAGTTTTAAATGGAAGTCTTGCCAGAGGCATGTTCCGACCAACGAAAATGAAAAAATCATTTAACCAACCAGGATCGTCAAGCTATTGTGGAAACTTTGCTGAGGCAAAGTGAAAATGGTTCACTAAAAAAGGGTTCAATAAATTACACGGCTGAATTATTCTCTGTAAGCGTCAAAACAATTAGCCGAATTTGGAAGCAATTAGTAGCATGTTTTTCAAATGGTCTCGCAATTGATGTGTCCGATAGAAGAGCAAGAAGATATGGTCACAAATGGTTACAAATTAACCTCACTAAAATCTCAGAAATTCCTCTTCGTCGGCGTATGAACATTCGTTCATTATCGGTGGCTATGGAAGTTGCTAAATCGACATTTCATCGGCGAATTCAAGAAAGTGTAATTAGACGACATTCAAATGCAGTAAAGCCTTATCTCACTGATGAGAATAGGATATTTTTCAATGCTTGAGTCACATATTCTTGCCAGCAGACCACTTTTTTGTAATATGTATAACTATGTGCATATTGATGAAAAATGGTTTTTCATGTCTAAAAAAGCAGAGAAATATTATCTTCTCCTTGAAGAAGTTGAACCATTACGTACCTATAGAAGCAAAAGATTCATCACCAAAGTTATGTTTCTAGCAGCAGTTGCTTAACTGCGATTTGATATGCATCAGAATGAGGAGTTTAGTGTGAAGATTGGAATATTTTCATTTACATACAAGGAGACTGCTAAACGAAATAACAAGAATCGTATGGCTGAAACATTGGAGATGAAGCCGATCTTATCGGTAACTAAAGATGTCATTCGATTATGCTTAATTGAAAAAGTCTTACCAGCAATTCGAACAAGATGGGCATATATTTGTATGACAGAGACAGTATTCACTCAACAAGACAATGCAAGACCACACATTGATCCACATGATTCAGAATTTTTAGAAGCTGCATCTAAGGATGGGTTTAATATTCGTTTGTGTTTTCAACCTTTGAATAGCCCTGATATGAATGTTTTAGATCTTGGATGTTTTCGGGCAATTCAATCCTTACAACACCAACAAGCTCCCACTACAATTGATGAGTTGATTGATGCGGTAGAAAAATCTTTCAATAAATTAGCAACGGAAAGCCTCAATTATGTTTTCTTAACATTGCAAGAATGCATGATTGAGACTATGAAGGTTTACAGAGGAAACAATTACAAACTACCATGCATGGGAAAAGATCAATTAAAGAGAAATGGTAATCTTCCTTCTCAGTTGCATTGTGATCCTGAAGCCTTTGAGAAAATTCTTCTCCATCTACAACAATGAGTACACTTTTGAAAACCAAGGTGAGTCCATCTTTCTACAACGTTCTATATAAAATTTATCATAGCAGTAAGTTTTCCTTCTTAGTTTGTTTTATCATTCATTTTGCCATGTTGACTTATATTTACAGGTGCTCTGGTTGGCTATGTGATTTGTCAAGTGATGATACACCTATAGTTGAAGAAGCTAATGACAAATAGATTATAAAGAGGGTGGTGTTTTGCTAAGTGATTTTGTCCCAATGAAGATGCCTGTATAGTTGAAGAAGCCAAGGAAATATACATCAGGAAAACAATGCTCTATTTTGCTCTGTTATTTTGTCAATATATATAGATCAGTCCTAATGAAGGGAAGCTAAGATAATGCTCTTATTTTGGACTATGTTCATAAGTTATGTTCCTGTACTGTACAAAAGACCATCAAGCACTTTTTGGTAATCAAATTTGCAGTTGTGTGGTTGTTTTGGTTAATCTGGTACTTAATGTTTTGATCATCAAGTATTGTTGTAGTGTGATTTTTTATTTTTTATTTTTGCCTTTTTGCTAGTCAGGTGTTATTGTTTGTAATTTAACAAGCTGGTACTGAGCAAACTATCAAACACCCATCAATATGGAGTCTTTTTTGTTCAAGAATAGAGCGTTTGGTTGGTGTTAAATAACAATATGGTTGAATCCAAATCTTATGGGCAGTAAGATATGTACAACAGGGAGTTCTCGATCAAGCGAAGAAAAGAGAAAAATGAGACTTTGGTGTGTGATTTAAATTTTTTATTTTTTTGCTAATCAGGTAAAATATTTTGATCATAATTTTGCTTTTGTGTTATTTAATCTTTTATTATTATTATTATTATTATTATTATTATTATTATTATTATTATTATTATTATTTTGCCTTTTTATCAAGAATTGCTTCTTTTTTTTTTTTTGTTGCTAATTAGGTGACATTTTGATCGTAATTTTATTGTTGTGTGATTTAATTTTTTTTTCTTTGCTTTTTTTAATAAAGTATATTGTGTTGAATTTATATTATTATTTTGCTAATCAATTGCTAAACATTTTGATCTTTAGTTTGCTATTGTGTGATTTTTTTTTTTTTTTTGGCCTTTTTATCAATTTTCACATTAGTGTTGTTGTTGTGTGTTTTAAGGAGGATCATATATTTATATTTATATTTATTTTTTCTTACTTTTGCCAGGTGCTAAACTTTTTTTCGAAAGTTAAGGTGCTAAACTTTTTTTCATGGTAGAATGTGGCAGCAATTTTGAATAATTATTTGTGTGATGTGTGATGTGTGATGACATGTATACAGTGGGGGCATGACATCATTTATTTTTCTTTTGAAAATTTACTGTCTTTAATCAAGTAAATGGAAAAGGGGTAGTTTGGGAATGTGATGAAAAATAGTACATTTATTTTTGGAAAGGGACATGTATTTTGGGACATCCCAAAAAGGAAAGATGGACATATAGTTTGGGACAGAGGGAGCATATTTTTTCACTATGCATTTGAATACCTTTCCAGGTAACTTCTTATGTCACAGAGACTGCTGAGTTTAGAGGCCAAAGGTATGCAATTAAATATTGTGGGTGTGGGGAAAAAGCAGACGCTAGAATTTCAGAGAAAGGAAAAAACATAGGGAAGCACTATTATGTATGTCATCATCCACAAAAAGTATGCGATTTTTGGGAGTGGTGCTACCCCATTTCATCCAATATCATTAAAACGGTAACTCGACCACACCATCTAACATTGGATGAAGGAATGACAGGGTACAATAATTTAGTGGAAGACGTTGATAAAATTAAATCTGATATTGGACAGCTTGCATCAAGTGTAAGAGTAATTGAAGCAACACATGAATTTATGAAGCTACTAGCTAGCGTAACACTTTTTATGAGTGTTTTAGCTTTTCTCGTATCTCTAATTGGTTTAGGTAAACTTTAGGTGATGTAATGTTAATTTGCGTGTTATGCGACTATGCGGAAATATTTGTATTCAGAATAGTTTTGGACTCAATATTAATGAAATTTAGTTAAATGATATGTAATATATTAAAAATCAGAGCATGGTATCATCTCATATGTTAAGCAAGAGTCACATTTAATTCAAAAGACATCCAGCACAAAAAATATATATATAATAAAATAAAAAGTTCATAGCTTCCAAATAGGTACATCATTAGTAACATCTCCACTACACAAAGCAATATATCCCATATTCATTACAAATTACTACATGTATAACATAAGTCAAATGTAAAAACCATGGCATAGTATCATTTCCTACTATTAAGTAAGAATAACGTTTCATTTAAAAGACATCCAGCACAAATTTAAAGTTCACAACTACTAAATAGGTACATGATGAGCACTGAAAAGTGCGTATTTATATCCCTTAAGCTTAGGCATTCTAGTACCTTTATCTATCTTACTTTACTGTTTTAGATTGATTTCGTATTATTTCCATTTTCAGGCACTTATCCCGGAAATAAGCTAACTCAGCCAAATAAGAGCTTAATTGAAGCAATTCTGAGATTAAACAAAGAAAGGAATAAAGTGGAGAAAGAAAGAAGCAAAATAAAGCAAAGCAGCAAGTTCGATCGATCCAAGTCCAAGGTTCGATCGATCGAACATTGATCGATCTCAGCACTTCAAGATAGATCCAAGCCTTGACCCAAAGCACTTAAGTCCAAAAGTTCGATCGATCCAACATCATTCTTCGATCGATCGAACACTTTTGTCCTTATTCAAATGATTGATCCTATTCACAACTGTACCACCCACTAACCACTTTTGTCCTTTTCAAATAAATATCTCCTATAAATATCTCGGATTTGTCTTTTTCCAAAAAGCTCAGCTAGTTGGATCGATCCAGCCTAAGTTCGATCGATCTCACTTACTTTCGATCGATCTCACTTCCTCCAGTGCGAAAAAGTTAAAATCCCATCTCATTGAAAGTTGTCCTTTATCCAATCATTAGGGAATATTGTGTGCACAACCCCAGCTCATTTTGGGTGTCATTTTGACCTACCTATATAAGGATAAGGATTGTTTTTTCAAGAGAGCCAATTTTATTTTTCATATCATCTCTTGGAGAGGAAGTTTAGAGGAGGATAAGGCTAGAGACACCATTGGAGATCTTCATCAACAAGGAGCAAACCTCTTCCATGGAGTTAGCCCTTGAGGGTTGGAGCATCCTTACTATGAGTGGCTAGACATCCTCTTGGGGTTAGAGTTGGCCCCAAGCATGCTTTTTATATCTTAATCTTGTGTATTATTGAGGGATTAGTTTTGTAATTAATGTTTTGACACTTTAATATATATAAATCTTGTTTAATCAATGATTTATGTGGTTTAATGCTTCCAATTGATCATTTCATTCTATCCATATGTCTATATATGCTAGAATTGATGTTCATGTTCTTGTCTCTAGATTTTGTATTATTGATGCATGTCTATGTGTATTGACGCCATAGATTTAGAGATTGTCAAAACATTGTGCTTAAAAGAATGCTTTTGTGATTCTCTTGATGGTTCATGTTTATCTCTTGATGGATTGTGCCTCTCCCCTAGTTTATTTTTATGCTGGTAGTGTAGATGTAGTGTAGTGTTAAATGGGAGGACAATTTATGCTTGTTGTTTGATGATCCAAGCTTTTGAATGCAATTAGCATATATCTCTAATCTTGTGTTGTATTTGGATTGTGAGCCTAATGAAAGGATTAATGACTTGTTTCGATTTATTGTGCCTTTCACATGTTGTTTAGACAATATATGCTTCATTGCTTAGATATATTGTGCCTTTCACATGATGTTTAGACAATACATGCTTAAATAGTCATCCTTGCTTGTTGAATCAACCAAATACATACACACCAATAATATAGAAATGCATTGCTTGGTGGTGGTCTCTAAACCCCAAGACTCTTCTCTTTCTTACTTACTCTTAATTGCACTCTTTTGCTATTACTTAGTTTAATTTAGTTGTTCTTTAATCAACCAACCAACCAATTGTTTGATCACTCGACCTACTAGCCCTAATTGTGATTCCACAATCAACTCCGACATTGCTCAATCCCCACAATCCCTTGGGACGATCCCTACTCACTCTTGCTACGTTAGTAGTAGTCTTGGTAGTGGTTTTTATAATTTTAAACTTGACCCAAAAAGGCTTTCCTTGAACCGCACATCCACTACATTATTTTGGCATGTAGGAATAGCTTTATCAATCCATCAAATTTTGGCGCCGTTGCCGGGGATTTGTTGATTAGATTTGGCAACGTTGGATTTGTGGAATTGATTAGGATTAGTACTCTTTTGATCGTGTTTTTACTTTATTTTTATTTTTCTTTTTGGTTACTTATTGTGTTGTTCTTACTTAACTAGGTGCATTGTTGGAGAGGAAGCAAGCAAATGAGCCATTGAGCATTCAATTCAAGCAAGCAAAGAAAGGAAAAATGCTAAAAACTTAAAAAAAAAAAAAAAAAAAAAAAAAAAATAGCTAAGCTAAGCTTTAAAATTTGGAGTTAAAGTGCTAAAGGACCTTTGTGAGATTTTCTTTACTCAATCCTTTAGTTAAATCGTCGGTCCGCGTGGAGGCTTATTTTTTATTGTGTTGCATCATTGAGTTAAAGTACGGGAGTATGAATTTAATGTTTGTGGAAGAAGTTTAATTGCATTGTTGTGAAGGCATAGTGTTTGTCATTCTTTGTGTTTGTTGTGTTTTGTATTGTGCATGCATGGGCGTCTTTCATTGAGACCAACTCTTGCCCCTCTTGATTGCATCTTGAATTTTATCATTAGAAATCCTAGGGGAAGAGGAAGTTCAAATAGAGCCAATCTTTCAATGGATGACCATAATGATGACCATATTGAGGACATTGGTCACATAGACCAACAAGGTATCCTTCATCCCAATGTGCACAATGAGAACATACAAGTACCATTAGGCATGCCTAGGCCATTCATTCACCAACCACCACAACAACAAGGCCAAGTTCCATATG